CCTATACACTTAGACGTGTACACATTTATCCATATCTTCATTTATGTTGAGACCTAACACAACTTATTAGATTAAAATCTTTGTGAACAAAGATTAATAATATTACTGGATTTCACATCATAACACTGTAGAATCAGGATTGGGTACTGCAGTGCCACTTTCCTTCAAAGTTTTTGTTCATTTCATCATGTGTCATCAGGTCGGTTCTCATGAACTGTTTATAGGTTTTACGTAAACATGAGTCTTAACATGTATTTCTATCCTTTTTATATTAGAGGGAAAAACAGAACAAAGCAGGACAGAACTAAACTTTTTCCTATAGACATATAAAACTAAAAAGATACATAAATCTGCTGTATAAGGAGTTCTACCATGGTCACTGTGCTGTTTCTTGTTATCAACAGAATTGGCTATATCATCAGATAAAATATAATTGAACATATCAGTACATTACAGGATTAACAGTAATACAACTTCGTAGATAGTGTGGAGCTATAAAAACAGGTAAGTAATCAAATCGGAATGGATATTGTAGTGAATCATTGTCATTTTCAGTATAGTTATCTATACTCCTCAACTTGATACCATCAACCTTACAGTTTTGAATAAAATCTGTCAATAATAAGCAGCAATCAAACATCAGATTTAACTAAGATCAGTCATCATACAACATGGATCCTGATTGAGTTCATAGGAAATTAAAGATGTTCACTGTGCTACGGACAGCTGTCTGTGCCCCTCAAATCCATTGCTTGTATACAAACAGAACAAGTTCCAACCAAGCAGAGTGGTGCAAGTAATAGGGGTTTTAATTCCTGATACACTATTAGCTATATCTTCTGCTGGTTTTTTTTTTTTTTTGAAGACTATTCCTCCCCTTTACTTCCCTAGAATGAACTGTGTATTTTTGGGTCTCCCCAACACTCACGGTTTTGTATTGCGGGGCGCAACCTGCTATTTACCTAAGTGTTTCCAAACTTTCTCACTCCTGGGCTGGATTTCTAGTTATATTTTTTTATTTATGAAAGCTCGTCTGTTCAACCTATCCATAAATACTGGTCTAGTTACCCCTATTACTCTCTGGTTCCCTATCACATTGATTTCTGTTTTCTCATGTTTGATTTTGGTCCATATAAGCTTCTTCAGGCTGATTATATTTCCTACAAAGAGCCTCTTGATGGACCCTATCTCTTGATCCACTCTGTCTGTGATTCTCTCTTTTTTCCCTTAAGTTAGTATATCTAGGCCATCTATATTAGAAATTATATCCAATCTTCTCTGCCTCATTTCTGTTGAATTCTTTTTCTGTCATTATTTGTCAGTTTGTCTTCTTCATTTTGCTTTTTGCTCCATTCATTGTGGCCTCTCTGCCACTGTTTCTGGAATCCTGGTACTTTTCTCTTTTAGAATGTCCTGCAGTATTCTCTGTAGAGTTGAATGGGTGGTTGCAAATTCCCCCAGTTCCTCTTTATCCTGGAAGCACCTTGTTTCTCTATTAATTTCTGGGGACAGTTGTTCAGGATAGATCAGTCTTGGCTGGAGGTTATTGTCTTTCAAAGCTTGGATTATTTCGCCCCACGCTCTTCATGATTTGATAGTTTTTGCCGAGAAGTCTGCTGTAATTCTGATGGGTGTTCCCTTGTAAGTGATCTGTTTCTTGTCTCTGACAGCTTTTAATATTTTGTTCTTATATTGGATTTCTGGAATTTTGATTATTATATGCCTGGGTGTAGTTCTTTTTGGATTGTAGGTGGCTGGAGTTCTGTATGCCTCATACATCTGAGCATCTTTACCTTTTCCTGTATTTGGGAAGTTCTCCTTCATTATTTCTGTGAATAGCCTTTGCAGGTCATTTGTTTGTATCCCTGCTTATTCCTTTACATTCTTAATTCTATCCTCTTGTCATCTTCTAGCCTTTGTATTGTTACAGCTTGTTGCTTTGTTATTTTTAAGACATTTTTCCTTTCATGCTCCCATACTGCAAACCTGTCCTCCAGTTCAGGTAATCTAACCTTAGTTTCTTTCAAGCTGTTATGCCAGCTTTCAATAGAGTTTTAATTTCCTGGTAATCTCTTTGAACCTGCTTCATGTATTCTATGTTTTCTCTATTTTCTCCATCAAACAATTCTCCCCCTTTTTTTGCTCTTTCATTCTACCATCTGTTTTTTCTTGGGAGGTGGTTAGCATTTCTTTAACTGTTCTACTTATATCCTGCTTTACTTGGTTAAATACTTCACTTTTGAACTTGTCTATGCAGTCCCTAAGATATCGCTTTATGTCTGTTGGTGTCATGCCTGATACTGCATGTTTACCATCCTCAAACTCCTTTGCATTTACCTTTCCTGGATCAGTGTTCTCAGGATTGGGGACCGAGGACCCTTTCTTGTTGCCTCCTCTTTTCATATTTTTTGTTCCTTCCACACAGGCATATATAGGAGGTCCAGTTTCTTTCTTTGTCAGTTTCAGTTTGTCTGAAGTGTGCTGACTAGGTGGTCCCACCCACTGCAGTATACTGGGAGGTACAGACCCCACAGCCTGTGCTGGGTCTGATCCTCCAGGTCAACCTACTGACGGCTTCACTGCATTAGGTTGCACTACCAGGCACAGGTCCTTGGTTTGGGCTAGCCCATTGGGCCTTAGTCCATGGCATCGCGTAGATCAAGCGCTCCCCACCAATCCTGCTTGAGAGGGGAATATGTGACAAAGTCACTGCAGCGCCCTACTCCAGCCAGTCTGCCCAGTCTCAGAATGTCCTCTGTTGGAGCCTCTTTGACTATGGGAGGGTCCCCATCCCTCTCACTCATCGCAGGTTGATGCAGGTTCCTCTCACCTACCACAGGTCGATGTTGGCCTCTCCACCAGTTCTGCTCCCAATTCAGTTTACCAATTCCCACTCTCAGAGTGTTCCCATCTCTGATGAGTTGCAACTAGCAGGCTATCCCAGCTGTGGCAATTCAGGCGCGGCAGCCACAAGGTATTCAAGCTGTGAGTTTTTTAGGTGTTCCAGTCGTAGCACCGGGATTGCATTTCCAATTCGTTTCTCTCAGCTTAGTTCATTCCTGGGTCGGCAGGGTATATCTCTTTCTGCTTAGGACTCCCCACACCATACCATTCTGGAATTTAAGCTGGCTACCTCAGAGAGCCACTGTAGCTGATGTTATCTATCCACCATCTTTTCTTGGTTCCTAGAAATTTGTATCTTGATTCAGCTTTGTTAATTCATAACATCCAGGAATCTGCCAATTTCTTAAGTATTTTCCATCTTATTAGAATACAAGTTCTCAAAGTAAGAATATATATTATTTTGTATTTCTGCTGAATCTGCTGTGATTTTACCCTTTTCATTCTTAATTGTATGAATTTGAGTCTTTCCTTTTCTGGTAAGTGTGGCTAAGTGTTTGTCTATTTTATTTAATCCTTCAAGGAACCATGTCTTTGATTTGTTGGTTCTTTGTATTATTTTTTAATCTCAGTTGCTTTAATTTCTGCTCTGATCTTTATAATTTTCTCCCTCAGGTGTGCTTTGAGTATAACTTGCTTTTCTTTTTCTAGGACCTTGAAGTTCACCATTAGGTTGTTTATTTGAGCTTGCTCTGTTTTTTTAATGTGGTAACTCACCACTAGAAATTTCCCTCATAGGACTGCTTTCATTGCATCCCATAAGTTCCAGATACTTCATTGACATCACTATTTAATTGTAGAAATTGTCTAATTTCACCTGTGATCCATTGGCTGTTCAGAAAGGTGTTACTTAAATTCCATGTGTTTATGTAGTTTTTGTGGTTTCTTTTGCTACTAATTTCGTTTCACTCACTATTATCTTATAATATGCATGGGATAATTTCAGTTCTTTTGCATTTCCTTAAGCATGTTTTATGAGCTAGTATGTGGTCTATAGAAGTCCCATGTGCTGCTGAGAAGAATGTGTATACTGCGTATACAGTAAATGTCCACTCAGTGGAGTGAGTTTATCCTCAGAGGGAAATTTTTAAATAAATATAAAAAATACAAAATGATTATGAATAATACTGAAGGATAAAGGAAACTGCTCAGGAAGATAGGAGGGAAAGAAAGAATAAAAAAAATACAAAAAAAATAAAAACAATGTTCACACTTATGAAAAAGCAAAAACAATGAGGAAAAGAAAAAGCAAATGAACCACAAGAAAAAGGAAAGAAAAAAAAGATCTTTCTTGTGGTTATTTCTTGAGTCTATAATTTTGTGATAGTATCCAATTTAAAGCATGGCTCTGCTGTCACTGGTAGACAGAGGTAGACCGAGGAGGCTGACAGAGCCCAGATCCACACTGCATAATCCCAGCAAGCCTTCAGTAGGATTAGGATAGGGTACTGGGTAATCCCACCAACCCCACAGTGGAGCAGTTAGCAATGCTAGTGCTTTCAACTCCTCAAGACTTTGAGAGAAGCTAAGCAGGTCTCATAAATGCCAAAGCATCAAAGTTCTAAAGAACATGTTTTTTTATTTGTTTGGGGTTCTCGGATTTGTCTTTTTTTTTTTTTTCTTTTTAGCGGTACCAGGGATCGAACTCATGACTGCCTGCTTGCAAGGCAGGCGCTTATGCCGCTGAGCGAAATCCCCAGCCCCTATTTTTTTTTTTTTGTCTTTTTTTCGGGGAGGTGCGGTTCTGGGATTTGAACGTGGGTCTTTAAACTGAGCTACATCCCAGACCATTTTATTATTTTATTTTGAAATACTGTCTTACAAAATCAGTAAATGTCCCAATCTGGGCTCTACCCAGTAATCCCCGTGCCTCAGCCACCCAGTGTGCTGTGATTACAAGTAAGTGCCACCATGCTTGGCTTTAAACAGCTATTTTATTGTACATTGAAGTCAGATCTAAGTGACTCTGGCAGTTTTAGACACAATACCATCAAGCACTTGTTTTCTCAGCTATTTAGGGAAAGCACTGATTTTCAGGGTCTCTTCCCATTCTAAAGGAGCAATGACTATCTTCACTCTCTTCACTTGTCCTTGAACAGAGCTCACTCTACTCTGGATGAAGACTTGGAAAGATGGCTACAGCCACCTGAAGAGAAGAATATGAAGCTACGTGGCTCCTGCGAAGACTTTAAAAGGTTATTGTTCCCTATTAGGGGATTATTTTCTTTCTTCTTCCTCTTCTACCCTATTCTTTACAGGAGAAAGAACACATTGCATGCTTAAGATACAGGAGTATTAGATTTAGATTCCCATTCAGGAAGTGGGGCTAGGGTTAGGAGCCTGGCAGAATGAGTGTCTGATAATGGCATTACACTGCTGCAGATAGGTATCCTGACTTCATCTCTCTACTCTCTCTCATGCTTGCTCCTTTTCTTCCAGCCACCCATAGTGCTTAAAATTTTGATTAATAGGTGGCACTTCAGGCAGAGACAGGTTTGTCCTGTCACCCTCAACATTTTCATCAATCATCTGAATTAAATCAGAAAAGGCATGCTTACCAAATATTGAGGTAGCACGTCTCAGAGTGAACTCTAATGTTATTTGGATGATAGATTAAAATGGTCTTGACAGGTAGAAATGTTAGTCTAAAAGATAAAGGTAAAGCTGAGCACATTGGTGCACAAGTGTAAGCCTAGCTACTCAGAAGGCTGAGGCCAAAGAATTGCTAGAGTTGAGGCTAATGTTCTATATCTAGCAGCATAAAATTCAGGATACCTATTCTGAATGGAAAATTTTAAACTGGAAGCTTCTCCTCAATAATAACCATTGAAGCCAGACATGGTGGCACTCTTGAGGCTGAGGCAGAAGAATTGTTGCAAATCTGAGACCATCCTCAGCTTCAAAGTAAGCTCAGCCTGTAGTACATAGCAGGACTTTCTCTTAAAAAGACCAAAATAATAATAATAATAATAATAACATTCAAAGCAGGAAGTCTTATTTTTATATGCCCAGCCCTTAATTTGCTTCGTGAAACATGTTATGAATTTCAGAAATTCTTTTTTTTTTTTTTTTCTTGCGTTACTGGGGATTGAGGTTACAACCTCATGCTTGCCAGGCAGGCACTTATACCACTGAGCTAAATCCCCAGCCCAGTATTCCAGAAATTCTTGAACAGTGCAAAATTATAGGGCCTCAGCCAGTGAGGCCTTAGGTTGATAAGTTACTGAAAATGTCAGCACTGCATTAATTATGCAAAGACAGAACTATACAGTCCAGATAAGGTGATGAGTGAGACAGGTAATGTGCTGTTCAGAGGACTCGGATACAATGTGCTGCTCCCTTTGGGTGTCACATTTAAATGGAGATCTCAACAAAGAGCAGAGCATAGGCACAGAGCAGTCAGAGGCGTGCAAAGCAGGTGGATGAGGGCAGCTGAAGGAGCTGGGAAGACTCAGCCTGAGCAGAGCCGGTAGAGGGGAGAATCTGAAAGCCTCCCTCACATGCCTAAAGCACTGTGAAGTGACCAGACTTGGCTACTGTCTCCTGCCCCAAAGGACACAGCTGGTAACTGGAAATTGCAAACAGAACTTTCTTTAGTAGAACAGACTTTCTCCTGATTATAGCCATGGGAGTGGGGAGGCAGCCGCCCTTTCCCTTCCAAAACGGCTGCTGCTGCTCAGCAGAGGCTGGCTGAGAACAGAAGAGTTGCCTTGGTTCAGCCAGCATCTTTTTTTTTTTTTTTTTAAATTTTAAAGGGAATAGAATAGAACAATAAAATGAAACAATACTGCATTTCAAAAACAAACCAGTAGAGAATCCACCACCATAGTTACTCTGTTGCATATTGTTATGCTCTGAATTGTTGCTCAGACTACCAGATTTAGACTTGCAAAGCTAATCAAACAATTTAAGTGTTTGGTTGTTTCTTTACTTCAGTTGTTGCCATCTCAGCCTGTGCTCTTCTGAGTCAGCCAGTTGCTTGTAGCGGGAGGTTTTCTCTCCCTGGCTCATGGGAGGGAGGGGACAGGGAGCCAGCATCTCTTGAACACTGCCAATGAACCAAGCTTTGTGCTCAGCCTGGTAATGCAATTAGAAGTGACATTGAGTGATGGAGATGTCTCTTTGATGGTTTATCAAATGTAATCTTAAGCTGTGAGATACTTAAATTACATTTCATATTAGAAATTTCAGAAAATGAAGATGAGATGATAAAAGAAATGGTGGGTTTTCAAAGTATACCCATTAGTACATGAGTGAAATACATTTTTCTCTTTGCGATTAGCTTTATAGCTAAGAAACAAAAGCAGAGTCTGGTTAGCTAGCCTTTCTGGGTTGATCCTAGTTCTAGGACTAGATATGTAATTTCTCTATGCCCCAGTTTTTTCATCAGGTAATGGGAATAGTAGTGAGAACTACTTCGTTTAGTTGTTATGACAATTGAGTTAACGGGATTCTAGTACATAAATCAACACCCAGCCATAAGAAACACTCCCATAGTGCTGACTGTTTGTTTCCTTTGGAGTGCTGTCCTATTATTCTGGACCTTAGTAATGTGGTTTAATGCCCCAAATAATTATTATTAAAGGGACACAAAAACCAAGGATCAAGACTTCATTGAAAAGAAGACCAAAAGGAAAGAAAACATCAAGCCAGAGAGAAGGAAATCAGAAAGCTTTTTAGGGACTTGTGAAGAAGGTATGAATGAAGAATTGTTTATAATGTAGTCTGCCATCCTTGAGCTTGGTGGACATCCGAGTTACTAAGAAATGTTTCTCAGATAGCATATATAATCTTCCTAGGTTCACAGTTCCCTGAATTTCTGTATAGACTTTCTGTTACCTGCCAATCATCACTTAATCTAGTTCTCTTTCAGAATCGATCTATTGGCCAGTATCATGAGCATCTTTCACACTGTCTGGAGAGTTGTATAGTTTCGAATTGTGTAACATCTGCAAACATTTTTACATTTAGCTCACCCATATACTGCAGAATCTAACGATATTTTATGTAATTTAATTGGGGTCTACAAGTAATGCAAAAGTTGTAACTTTACCTTAATTTCATGTTATTTTTTGAGACACTCTTGCCTCTTAATTCAGACTGGCTCTTAACTCACTCTGGAACCCTCCCTGGCCTCAATTTCATGGCAATCCACCTGCCTTGGTCTCCTGAGTGCTGGGGTTACAGTGGCTTTAGGCTTATGATATACTATTTACAGATGATATCCTCCTAAATTTTGTTTCTTCCACTCAGGAAGTGAGTGATATTAACCCCTTCAGGCCATCCTTTACCTCTTTTATCCTTTCCCCAGCACCTTTTCATTGTTCTTTCCCTGTCCAGATTTTGCCCAGGATGCTGACCCTAGTGGACTGCCTCTCCAGGGCTTCCTATTGGCCAGTTAGAAGGCCTGGCAAAAATCAAAGGGCAGGGGACAGGTTGGGATTTATTTCTCCTCCCTGACTATTTTAGTATCTTGCGTGCGGAAGAATGTTGTCCTTCCTCAGGCACAGCTTCTGTGTGGCAGCCTGTCCTTTCCAGTTCCTACTGTCTTCCCTGAGTTCCAGTAACTGTCCTCCTACCCTTACCATTCAGGCCCTTTAGGGTTAGGCTTTCCACTGCTGCCCATCCCTGGATGCCCTGCCATTCCTTGTTTGTTCCTTTTACTGTAACTATGCCTTTGTATGTAGACCCTTTATAAAGGAAACTTTCCCTGTACTATCCATGGGTACATTTTCTTTCCTCCAACCTCTGACTAGACACTGTGTGGGGCATTTGAGTAGTATTGGAGTCACTAAGAAGGTAATTCAGAAGATAATTTGTGAATTAGTGCCCACCATTATGGCTGGGGGTTGTAGAATGTTTGGAAGGGAAGCCATTAGTTGTGTTCTCAGAAAGATTCTATATCTGTGTGATAGAACACAGTGCACATACCTCAGCACTCAGGAGCCTGAAGTAGAAGGATCACCATCAGCTTGAGGCCAGCCTGGAATATATGATGAGACACTGTGTCAAAAAAAAAAAAAAGCTGTTGTAGATAAGACTGTCTAGGGCTGGGGTTTTAGCTCAATGACATAAGCACCTGCCTGGCAAGTGCAAGGTTGTGATTTTGATCCTCAGTACTGCCAAAAAAAATAAACAAAAGATGATTGTCTACAGTAAACTATACAAAACGCTGATACAAATTCTGAATTCTGGCACTTATTTACCTAGAAAATAATTAGGTTTTTTTGTTCTTTCTCTTTTATTTCATGAAGATGAACTAAAACCCTGTTTTTGGAAGCGACTGGGCTGGTCTGAACCATCAAGGTAATTGGATTATCTATTTAGTATGCAGTTTCATTTTTAGAGACAGAATAAGCACACTTAAAACATTAACTAGTGTGAATGAACACAATGGGAAAAGACTTGAATTTCTGACCAGCTTGCTCAATTTATAGCTGTATGCTCATATTCAATTAAAATATAAAATGAAATAACAGTTCACATATGGGAGAACAGATGCTGCCGTCATTGCTTTGCAGTAGTCTTGCGTTTTCATGATTCACTGATCATATTATGTTCTCCCTTGATTATAAAAACCCAAATCCCTTTCCTCTTGATTCAGTTGAATAGAAGGGATGTTTGTGTCTTTGAAAAATGTACGTACTACAACAAGTATTGAAATCAGTAAGGAGATTCCTCAGAAAACTAAAAATAGAAACTTCATTCAAGCTAGCTATTTTCTTTCTGAGTATCTTCCTGAAAAAGTTAAAAGACATCATATTACATCATACATGTATTCCCATATTTATAGCAGCGTAACTTATAATAGCTGAATCTTGCATACATGAATAAAGAAAACGTGATACTTGTACACAGTGTGGTACTGTTTAGCCAGAGAAGAATAAATTTGAGTCACTGCAGAAAAATGGATATGCCTTGCAGTTATTATTCTAAGAGAAGCCGGTGTGACAGCACACACCTGTAATTCCAGTACTGGGGAGGCTGAGGCAGGAAGATCGCTGTGAGTACAAGTACATCCTGGGCTACAAGGACAAATTGAACTGCATAGTGAGACCCTGTCTCAAAAAGATAAAAAATAATAATAATAATAATAACTCTAAGTAAAATAAGTGAGACACAGAAGGTTAAATGTCATATGGTTTCTCTTATATGAAAAACCCAAAGTGTAAGTAATTTAAAAACAAAGTAAAAGATTATAGGAAACAGGGAGGTAGACCTTTAAAAAATGGGAAAGGGATACAGGAATGCAATGAGAAGGGAAGGGAGGTAAAAAGGGTTAAGGTACAGTAGATACATGTACCATGATTCCAAGGTGAATGTATTCTTTATATATTTCAAACATGTACTACCAGTAACAAAAAAATACATACTGAGTTGGGGGCCATTGTTCAGTGATTGAATGCTCCTCTAGCATGCACAGAACTCTGGGTTCAATCCCCAGGATGGCAAATAATAATGAAAAAAATGTTTAATTGTGCATATCGATTTGAAGCTCCCTTTTTTGTCCTTTAAAACATTTGTGCACAGGATAATTGTGCTGGATCAGAGTGACTTGTCAGACTGACTGCAGCAGGATCACAGAGGGATTCTAGCCCGATTTTGAGCATCTGGTTGTGAGCTCCTTTCTTCTCTTGCCTGCTTCAGTCGCTATCAGGAGAGCAGTTCAAGTTCTGTATCATACTTCGTTCAGCTGTTATAGCAGTCATGTGGTTCCAATCTGTGTGTTGGAGGCACTTGTAACCTTTCAGATTCCTGAAAAGTGCAAGGTAGTTACAATTTCAAAAATTGTTCATTATGCCCAGAATGGCTTTTGATTTTGTTGTGTAAATTTTTGAATACTTCACTTTTGTTATACAATAAAGTGGTTTTTTATTTTTTACTACTATTCACTTTCAGCTCTATGAGATTTATTTCTTTGTTTAAATTTGAGAGTCAGAAGCAAGACCTTCAATCTTTGATATAAGTGTTACACATAAGGAGCTACCACCAGTTGTCCTGTTTTATACCAGAAATATCACTCAACTATTTGGCTAGGATTACTGTGTTCCCATTACCTAGAATTGATTTATTAGGAGGTAGTGATAAAATCCCAAAGTATTTGGAACTCTTTTAAGATGAATACCACCATTCTCATACACTTTGGAATGTACCCCTCACATGATGAGTGTAATAGAGAAATAAAACTATGGTAAGCTTACGATTACAACATTTTTCTAATTTGGCTTCATGTGACTATTGGCCAGATGATGCATGTACCTAGCGTGGTTCTTTAAGGATTTGTCTTTCTTTACCTGCCCTTTGGAATCTTCCATATGAATAGAAACCTTCCCAAAGAAGCTTTGTACTGCTGGGTGTGTGATACTAGCCAGATAACCTTGTTTTTGTGTATCTTGGTGAGTGAGAAAAATGTCTTGCAAAAATTGAATGGTTCCTGTGGTGAATAGTCATAGTCATATTTCTCAGTTCCCATAAATTTTATGCTGCACAAATCAAATAGTAAGGTACAAATCTATTGGCTATTTTAAGGCAAGGAAACAGTTGCTTGCCATTTATATTTAGCAGAAAACAAATTAGTTTATAAATGATACTAAGTTTAAGAAACTTTGAGAGATACAGAGACTTATAAAACAGTCTGTCTCTCAAGCAAGTTATTCTAATTGATGAGACAAAACCAATCTATGTTAAAATGTAAGACTAATAACACATAACATGATAAATGGTGGTTTAAGGTTATTATGGCACTGTTTGTTAGTACATACTTTAAGGATAAAAGTCTTATACCAAGTGCAGCTGAGAAGGATTGTGATCTGTTCTACACAACCCTCCTGTGTGGCCAGTAAGTGTGAAATATTGGTTAATATTAAGAATAATAATGTTGGTAGATCTGTTTATTGAGTCACTGGCCATGTTTCCCCCAAAATTAGGCCTAACCAGAAAATAATCAGCAGTGAAAACTAGAGATCAAAAATACCAACCCTGATAGATATGGTGTTACATACTTATAATCCCAGCACTCGGGAGGCTGAGGCCAGCCTGAAATCCTATGTCAAAAAAAATATATATATATATCTATATAGTGTTTTTTTTCCCAAGAGAAGCTGAAATGGACTTTTTTAAACCTCCAAAATAGAAATACCCTATTATGATTTCCCTCTGTTTCTGTGACCATCACCCTCATCTAAGTCACTTGTAACTCTTACTGAGCATCTTAGCATGGTCTTCCAGTGACCTCTTCCATGGAATCCCATATCACAGTTGTTTTTTGAATGATGCATGTGTACCAGTCCTGCTCCTGGTGCTGGGACAATAGTGAACAAAGCAGAGTCCCTGTAGGCCTGGAGTCATTAAAGAACAAAGGTAGTAGTGGCGATGCTGGCAACATGATAAAGATTGAACCAATAAAGATTGTGTGGGGCAGAATTTAACTTCAGACGGTGATGTGAGGGAAGCTACTGAAGACATGACCTTTGAGCTTTAGTTGGAATGAGGACAGGGAGCCAATCTTGTGACTGGAGTCATGGCTCATAGCATCCCAGCAAGAGGAATAGCAAATACAAATTCCTCAGGGAAACACTGAACTGCAGCAGTAAGAGGTCAGTATGGTACAGGAGAGTAAGTTGTAAGGATGAAGTGAGCATGGAAACAGCCAAAGGGATCATAATTATAGGTCATGTCAAAATGTGGGAATCCAACAGAAAGTTCTAGACAAGGAAGCAGCAGAGTGGGTTAAAACTGACTCACATTTGTAAAATATTTCATAGTCAGGTATCGTGGTGCAGGCCTGTAATTCCACTCAGGAGGCTGAGACAGAAGGATCACTGTGAGTTTGAGGGTAACCTGGGTTACATAGTGAGTTCAGGCCAGCCTGAATTATATAGCAAGACAGTGTGTCCAAAAAAATTCTTTTGTACTTTTCTTTGCAATAATTGTTTTCTTTTTGTTGTTTTAGAAGGGTCACACTGTGTAGCTTTGGTTCACCTCAAATTTAAGTTCTTCTGTCTTGGCCCTCTTATGTACTAGGACACAGTGATCTTTTGGGTTTTGTTTTGTTTTTGTTTTTGTTGTCTTTTTTTGAGACTGGGTCTTGCTGTGTGGTTCAGGGTGGCCTTGGATTCCCTTTGTAGCCCAGGCTGGTTTCAAACTTGCAACAATCTGCCTGCCTCAACCTCCCAAGTGCTGGGATTACAGGAGTGTGCCACCATGCCCTTCATAATGGTCTTTTTAACATGCAAAAAAACAATATTTCATTTCTTTATTTAAATCTTTTTCTGCTGCTTTTGGAAATATTTGGCTTCTCCCATTCTTCAACTATTTTTGTGTGCACTGTTACTGCTTGGAGCACACATGTACCACAGTTCTTTAGTTATCTACCTCATCATTTGCTTCTCACCTCATACTTTACTCCCTTATGGAGTCTTCCTGAAGTTCCTGAACCTTAGCCTGGTTTCACACCCTCTGTAAGATTTTTCCATAGTATCCTGTCTGTCTTCACCCATCCACAAAGATCATATTTTAATTTATAGTACATAAAAATCTTACAAACCAGGAGTATGTGCCTCTGATGGCATTATAAAACTGTAATGTCCCAAGGCCAGAGATTGTATCTGGGTTGTTCACTGACATATTCTCTATTCCTGGTAGTAAACCTGCATATATTACTTGCTCCAGAAATACTTGTGAACTGAGTGATCATTTTTAATCTTCACAAAACCAAAAAACAAAACCCATCCTATAAAAGAGGAAACTGCTTATAAAGTGTTCCATGATCCTCCAAAGATGATGCTAGAATGAACATTTGAATAAAGGTACAGTAGCTTTCCCAGAAAGTGTACCTCAAGAGTGTTCTGAACAATGTTGAAGGACTATAAAAGTGAAATAAGAGGTAAACTCAGGATAAAACTGATTTAACTCCATCCCCATCTCTCTACCTATTCTCTGGGTTTTGTGAAGGCTAGCTTAATGGCCACTTGATTGACTTAGGAGCTGCACAGGGAATTAATTACACTTTTGAGTGTGTGTGGGCTGTTGAGGTGTATCGTTGGGATCTGAAACTGGTCCCTGGCCCTTTTCTCTCTTGTGCTCTTGCCCTACTCTGCTTCTCAGACACCACGAACTGAGCAGTTGTGCTCTGCCTGCCATCTCATGATGTTTCTGCTTTAGAGGCAATAAACGTGTGAAAATGTGAGTCAAATGAAACCTCCACTCCTTTAAATTGTGCATATTGGGTATTCTGTCTCTCCAATGTGAGAGCTGACTAATGGTACCAGGTTTTGGGAATGTACTAGGTCCTTCAGCATTCCTCAGCATGGGAAAAAAACATGCAGCAGAATATTAGTAAGTATTAGCTCACTATACTGAAATTACTGAAACACTGACAATTTGGATTATTGCTTTTGTTTTTGGGTGTTTTAAATTTTTTTATAACACCACACCCAGGTGAGACATTCTGTTATGGTTTTCAGTTTCCAAGACTTTTTCATTAGCTCTTCCCACTTCTGAAAGTAAAATGAGAAGCAATACCAACACTGACTACAGGGATTTAAAAATCTACAAGATCCAGGGACACAGATCAGTGGCACAAGCACCTGCCTGGCAAGCACAACATCCTGAGTTTGATTCCTGGTACCAAAAATAAATATCTGCCAAAATAATGGTGTGGCTTCATTAATTTTAACTAGGATAATGTTAAAGGCTGAAGCAGCTCAGTAGTAGAGCTCTTGCCTAACATGAGGAGGTCTTAGTTTCTGTCCCCAGAAGTATAAAAGGAAAAAAAAAGATGTAAAATACTCTTCTGCCTTCTGCAGTGAATAACAGAGGTCTGGGCCCGTCATAGGGTTAACGTGCACAGTGAGCGTGATCATACATACTGAGATTTTCACATACCCAACAGTGCCACCAACAGAGACATGGCAGTGCTCCAGAAAATGAGGTTTTTCATCTTTCAGTGAATTTCATAAGAAAAATAGCCTGCTGTTCAGGTAGCTGAAGCAGGATTACTACAAGTTGGAGGACAGCCTGGACAATTTATGAAGGCCATGTATGGAGAGAAAGAATAAAGGGGCAGACTGGAGATGTACCTCAATGGTAGACTGGCTTCAGCCTGTAGTACTTCCAAGAGATAGAGGCAGAGACACTTCCTTTTATCAGTGTCTAGCCCCACATGAATCCTTGCTTTCTACATTTTAATGCCCATTCTGTTGGCTCTCGGAACAGCAAAAAGTTAGACCATCTAGTTCCGCATCACGGCTCTGTTATTTCCTAACCTTGTTGTCATGCATGAAGTTACTTAATCTCATCAAGATGAGAGATAGTCTGTCTCATCTAGACATTGGACATGGAAGAAAATAATTCTTTGCACATAAAAGGAGATAATCCTTAGAGCATTCAGTAGGCAGTTGTAAATATTTTAGCAGCCACATCTGCAGATAACTTTTTTGTTTGTGGGGGAAGTGATAGTGCTGGAGATGGAACCTAGGTTGCTATCATTGAGCTATATGCCAGCTCTTAGTTATCTTTTATTTTGACACATGGTCTTGGTACAATGTCCAGGATAGCCTTGAAGCCTTCCTCAGGTGGCTAGGATTGCAGGGACCCCTCACCACCCATCATCCAGACAACTGGTGAGCTGTTTTACGATGTTGCCATTACTGCAGGGGAAAACACACTGGCAGAGACTGCCCTGAAGTATGAAGCTAGGGAAACAAACACTTAGGGCTGCCAGTGGTGGCCAGTATGCCTTGGCATGCCGCTGTGAGTCCTCACCTTTACAGAGTTCAGAGGGTTGTGTCATGATTCCTCAAAATTCTGGCTGGGAATTTCCCATCAAATGTACATCCAGCCAGGTGTGATAGCATATGCCTGTCATCCCAACTACTCGGGAGCCTGAGGC